GGTGCCTAGTCTATCAAATTCATGGTAGAAGGGATACTACAGGAAGCCACATATATCGGACTAATAGCGCTATTTCATATGTTCAGTAGAAAAACGTCATCGCAATCTGAAGCAGTTCGCGAGTGGGGTCAATCGCTCGACTTGCCTGATCTCCGCTATCGCTTATCGTACTTATGGTTGACTTTCACGTTTTGAGAGTTCATTACTTCACAATACGAACGCTGACTTGAGCTCCAAAGCGAATTCAACAGTATAACTGATTGTGCTACGCAGCGTGGCCAATGTTGGGGTAACCGGGGACTTCGAGATCGAGGGCTAATGTCCACTGACAAGAACAGACTATATATGAGGTATGCAAAGGCATGGCTTTATCTCCCTTCCTTAAAAAGCTATCAAAATAGTATTGGTGCTTAAACTCTGTTATTGGACCAACCTTATATAAGAGAACTAAAAGTCACCTTGACAGGAAGGCTGCAATCTCTTTACGGGAAGAATGGTCCGAGTAAGGAATTGAGATCAGCTTTTCCTTAACTATTCTGAAAAGTCAACTGAAATAAGTACAACTGAGTTTTCTCTCGCTACATTTTGAGTACTCTTGTAGCATTAGCAAAAAGCAGTTTGGAATGCTGATGATAAATCGACAGAGAAACTGACCCCTCATACTCGCCTCGCACAGAGAGATCAATAACAGCCTTCGGATTCTGCATTTTCTTCAACATGGTTAGAACCTGCCTGGAAAATTAAAATTTCGAGTAAAAAATGAAAGAAATGAAGGGAAAAATTGAGCGACCGTACCTTGGATGCCTTTGTGACGTGTAAATTCGCGCACTAGTATCGCTTTCCTCACTGAACTCTCCTCCTTCCAATCCACACACCTTCCTCACACTGAGTCGATGACTGCTCGTTGCTATGACTTCCTAAAGGAAAAACCTTGGGGATGGAGCTGAAGTTCAAAACCATCAGAAATCGATTACAAGTGGATCAATGGCTTATCCATCAATCACTTGTATAGTTGATTTCCAGTGCATTTGCTGCTGGCGACTCGGCTCAACGGCAAAGTTGCTACCTTTTAATCAGAAAGTGACTATTAAATAGTTCCTGTTCTTATTCTTATTCGTGTTTTGCTCAAGTACTGTTGAAAACGCCTTTTCCAGTGAAACTTTCCAATAGTCCCTGTACCAGGCATCCTTCCTGCGACATGACCTGCCTGCACATGCTCAGGTTCTCTTCCCATCGCTTTCGCCTTCGGACATTTACCAATGAAGATGACCTTCCAGTTGTTTCGCTGAGTAAGCTATCACACAATTTGCAGCATCTGTTACTGCCACTGCATATTCAACGTTGAATCGCAGAGTAAGGCTGCGTTTATACTTTGCGGCAGCGTAGCGTAGCCGCGTCTCTGACGGCCACATAGTCTCTACAATACACATCGATTGCGCGTCTCTTACGGCCACATAGTCTCTACTCCCCTGCCGCTGCAAACGCCAGCAAAACGCTGGTGAAACGCTGGAGAAACGCTGGCGTACGCTAGCGTTACGCTGGTGACGCTGGGAACGCTAGATCGATATCCATCCTCTCCCCGGCACTGCCGCTGGCGTACGCTGGAAGCGCTACGCTACGCTGCCGCAAAGTATAAACGCAGCCTAAGCTACCACATAATTTGCAGCATCTGTTATTGCCACTGCATATTCAAC